TTGACAAACTACAGCATCCTTTCTTGATCAAAACTCTTCAGAGTATAGGGATAGAGGGTACATACCTCAATATCATAAAAGCCATCTATGAAAAACCTACAGTGAATATCATTCTCAGTGGGAAAAAACTGAGAGCTTTTCCCTTAAGGTCAGGAACGCAGCAGGAATGTCCACTCTCACCACTGCTATTCAACATAGTATTAGAAGTCCTAGCCTCAGCAATCAGACGACAAAAAGAAATAAAAGGCATCCATATCAGCAAAGAAGAAGTCAAACTCTCACTCTTTACAGATGATATGCTACTTTATGTGGAAAACCCAAAAGACTCCACCCCAAAACTGCTAGAACTCATACAGGAATTCAGTCAATTGGCAGGATATAAAATCAATGCACAGAAATCAGTGGCATTCCTATATACCAACAACAAGACAGAGGAACGAGAAATTAAGGAGTCGATCCCATTTACAATTGCACCCAAAACCATAAGATACCTAGGAATAAATCTAACCAAAGAGGCAAAGAATCTGTATTCAGAAAACTATAAAATACTCATGAAAGAAACTGAGGAAGACGCAAAGAAATGGAAATATGTTCCACACTCATGGACTGGAAGAACAAATATTGTGAAGATGTCATTGCTACCTAGAGCAATATACACATTCAATGCAATCCCCATCAAAATACCATCCACTTTTTTCAAAGAAAAGGAACAAATAATCCTAAAATTTGTATGGAACCAGAAAAGACCCCGCATAGCCAGAGGAATGTTGAAAAAGAAAAAAAAAAGCTGGCGGCATCACAATTCCAGACTTCCAGCTCTATTACAAAGCTGTCATCATCAAGACAGTATGGTACTGGCACAAAAACAGACACATAGATCAATGGAATAGAATAGAGAGCCCAGAAGTGGACCCTCAACTCTATGGTCAACTCATCTTTGACAAAGCAGGAAAGAATGTCCAACGGAAAAAAGACAGTCTCTTCAACAAATGGTGTGGGGAAAACTGGACAGCCACATGCAGAAGAATGAAACTGGACCATTTCCTTACACCACACACACAAATAGACTCCAAATGGTTGAAAGACCTAAATGTGAGACAGGAGTCCATCAAAATCCTAAAGGAGAACACAGGCAGCAACCTCTTCGACCTCAGCCGCAGCAACTTCTTCCTAGACTCATCACCAAATGCAAGGGAAGGAAGGGCAAAAATGAACCATTGGGACTTCATCAAGATAAAAAGCTTTTGCACAGCAAAAGAAACAGTCAACAAAACCAAAAGACACCCGACAGAATGGGAGTAGATATTTGCAAATGACATATCAGATAAAGGGCTAGTATCCAAAATCTATAAAGAACTCATCAAACTCAACACCCAAAGAACAAATGATCCAATCAAGAAATGGGCAGAAGACATGAACAGACATTTTGCCAAAGAAGACATCCAAATGGCCAAGAGACACATGAAAAAGTGCTCAACATCACTCGGCATCAGGGAAATCCAAATCAAAACCTCAATGAGATACCACCTCACACCAGTCAGAATGGCTAAAATTAACAAGTCAGGAAACGACACATATTGGTGGGGATGCGGAGAACGGGGAACCCTCCTACACTGTTGGTGGGAATGCAAGCTGGTGCAACCACTCTGGAAAACAGTATGGAGGTTCCTCAAAAAGTTGAAAATAGAGCTACCATATGATCCAGCAATTGCACTACCGGGGATCTACCCCAAAGATACAAATGTAGGGATCTGAAGGGGTACGTGCACCCCAATGTTTATAGCAGCAATGTCCACAACAGCCAAACTGTGGAAAGAGCCAAGATGTCCATCAACAGATGAATGGATAAAGAAGATGTGGTATGTATATACAATGGAATATTATGCAGCCATCAAAAGGAATGAGATCTTGCCATTTGCAACGACGTGGATGGAACTGGAGGGTATTATGCTGAGCGAAATAAGTCAATCAGAGAAAGACATGTATCATATGACCTCACTGATATGAGGAATTCTTAATCTCAGGAAACAAACTGAGGGTTGCTGAAGTGGGGGGTGGGATGGGGGGATGGGGTGACTGGGTGATGGACGCTGGGGAGGGTATGTACTATGGTGAGCGCTGTGAATTGTGCAAGGCTGTTGAATCACAGATCTGTACCTCTGAAACAAATAATGCAATATATGTTAAGAAAAAAAAAAAAAGAAGAATGTAGCAGGAGGGGAAGAATAAAGGGGGGGAATCAGAGGGGGAGATGAACCATGAGAGATAATGGACTCTGAAAAACAAACTGAGGGTTCTAGAGGGGAGGGAGGGTGGGAGGATGGGTCAGCCTGGTAATGGGTATTAAAGAAGGCACGCTCTGCATGGAGCACTGCGTGTTATATGCAAATAATGAATCATGGAACACTACATCAAAAACTAATGATGTAATATATGGTGATTAACATAAGAATAAAAAAATTAAAAAAAAAAAAGACGTGAAGTTACTAAGGACACCTGAGATTTCGACATCTTTGTAGACGAATGCTGCTCATAAAACACCCCGCACCAGAAACACGGAAAAATTCATCCCAGCCTTGTTTGGTTAGGATCTATGGTCACTGTTTCAACTGATGGACATCCAGGGGGTCTTAGATTCCAGCACCCAGCAACCTTCCTTTCTTGATTCTTTTAAGTCTTACCAAATCTTGTAGGTTGCACATCCTCCTGTACTTGTGCTGGACCCAGAGGAGACTGGGAAAATCTTTTGTCTCCATGGGAGGTGGAGGCCTCCACATTCCTGCCGCGGCCCCATCTGACTGAGAAGGGGGGTAGGCTCCAAACTGAGAATCTCAGTGCTCCATTCTGACACTGCTGATTTTTTTTTCAAAGCATAAAAGTATACTTTTTAGGTGTTAATACAAAAGACATCAAAAACACAGCTAAAAGAAATGACGCATGTTTATAAATGTGTGGACTATTTCTGAGAAAGATGCACAGGAAGCTGCTAACAGTGAGGGATGGAAGAGCTTGCCCCTGGGTGAGAAGGAGGCAAACTGTATGCTCTTTTGTACCCTTTGAATTCCATTTTATGGATCTACCAAAAAATTAATTAAAAATCCTATAAAAAAGCAATAAAGCCTCTGGTAGGGTATGTATTCCAGGAAGAAAAGGACAGCATAAGTATTATGTAACAGGTGCGTTCACAGAAATAAAAAAACAGGGATTCACTAGAGCAAACCCTAATCACATAGTCTCAGTTCCCTGCTGTCTGGGAGCTTCTGCCCATCTTGTCCAGATCATGGAAGGAGGGGTAGGGAGGAATCACCCTAATTCCCAGGCAGGAAATGGGGGCATGGACCCTTGTGGTATTGATGTGGTTTGAAGTGTTGGGGTTTGGAGGCAAGGGCCAAGAAAGAATTTTTGAGATGTCTTCGGTGCAAAAAGGTGGTTTTATGAAAGCACAGGGACAAGACCCGTGGGCAGAAAGAGTGGCACCAGGATCATGAGGAGTGGCTGTTATATACATTCAAGTTGGGAGGGGGTTAGGGACAGGTATTTTGGAAACAAGGTTTCCAGGATCCTGAGGGGGCTGGCTGTTGTTAGGAAAAGGTCATTTATTACTGTTTAGTAAAAACTCAGTCATAAGACCCTTCAGATGTATACCAGTGGGTCATATGCTTGGAGGATGATTGCTAACATATATCTTGGGGAGTAGAGATAAAGGAAGTTTCCAAAGGAACTTTTATATGTTAAAGTAAACATACAGGATCCTGGGCGGGGGCGGGGGGGGGGCGGTGTTAGTCAGGTTAATGTTAAGCTAAGATTGCCTTTTGCCCTTAGCAAAGCATTAACATCAGGGCAGCTGAGTTCCTAGAAGAATGTCAGTCGGCCTGGTCCAAGGACTTGCCTGTCAGTGGGCTGTAGGCAGTAAGGAAATTTAATTTTTTCTTTTGCCTTTGTTTCCCACATCAGTATCATTTATGGGTCCTGGAAAGGGGACCACTGCTGACTCCTGGTCTCCCAGCCACTAATTAGTGATCAAAATCCCACCCCCTCCCAGGACAAAGGCAGCACAGCTGGGCCTCATCTATGGCCAGAAGCTGATGCTCCGCCAGGGTTGGAGATGGGAGGACACTAGTGGTGTGGAGGGCTCTGAGGGGCCTATGTTTGTGGGAGAATGAGGACACTGTGGGTAGTCATAAGTCCTCCTTGTGGGTAGGACACCTCTGGTGTCTCCAGCATGCTGCCAAGCAAGAGGAGCTGACTGAGGAGAGTAATTTGTCAGGAGAGTACAGGAGGAGATCAATGTGGAGACTGTTCTAACTTGTCCATGCCCAGAAATTCAGACCGCTAATCCATTAAAGGCAGGTGAAGAGCAACGGGGCCTCTGAGACATTCCAGATCAAACCTGGCCTGACATCCACCCACCCATCCACTTAGAACTGCTACTAACAGATGGTTGCTGCCACCTGGCCCCCAGGCCACAGCTGGTGCTGTGGGTCATTCCATCCCTGTTTGGAAGGTCAAGGTTCTCTGCAGAAGTGCAGTACAGTGGTGGAGAAACAGACCCAAGGGCAGTTTGTTTGCCCTTTGTTTGTCTATGTCTCAATTTCTTCTTCTATAAAGCAGAGATGATAATAATAATAATAATAATAATAATAATAATAATACCTAATAATCCCTCCCCGGAAGGACTGTTGGGCAGTTGAATGAGAAAATCCACTTGACGTGTTTAACAATGACGTGCTCAACAAACGTGCGCCAAAGCCTTCAGTTTTTATTCCCCAGCTGAACCACCCTTAACCTGCTTAACAGGGGAAATAGGAGGTTTACAACCACCGAGGTCCCTGTGTGCTTTAACACGCTTTGGGGGAAATTGGTGTGGAAAATAGATTAGGAAGGGAGGAGGCTAAAGGCTAGAAATCCAGGGAGAAGTCTGTGCGGCATCCAGATGGGAGGTGGAGGGGCGGGAACTCGGGCCCTTGGCAGTGGGATTCGGGAAATATTTTGGAGAAATTCTCTCCAGGACTTGATAACAGGCTGGGAACGGACCCTTGGCCGAGGGCACCGGCCTTGATGGCTGGAGGAAGGTGGAAGGTAGAGAGCCGGCTGCAGGGACGATCTCAGAGGTGGGGGCTGGGGACGCGCGCCGTGGGACGGGAGGCGGAAGCAGCGGGCCCAGAGGCGGCTGTGAGCGCAGGGGTGGGGCTCGGGCTGGAGGGGGAGGATTTCTGCGCGGGGGGGGGGGGGGGGGGGCGCGCAGCTGGCGCTGGTCTCGGTGCAGCGTGCGGAGGCGCGAAGCCCGATTTCCCCCTCGCACCGTCGGCTGCGCGGCGGTCCGGCCGGCCTGGAGGAGCCGCTGGGGCACTCGGCGACCCCGCGCGGGGACCGGCCGGCTCCCCTCCTCCCTCCCTCCGCCCCTCGCCGCCTCAGAGCTCCCATTCCGCCCGGCCCCCGGCGCCTCCGCCCTCCCGCTTCCCATGACCTCAGTGAGACGCGCTCGGGATCAAGTTGAGGCTGGTTTTCCAGCGGGCCGCCGGCCAGACCGCAGAAACCGCCGCCGTTCACGCCCGGCGGCCGCGCGCCTCCCGCGGCCAGGGCGGGACCGGGACCGGCGCGGGCGGCGGGGGACGGGACCCTTTCACCCCCCGCTGAATTCTAACCCGGCGGGAGCCCCAGGGGTCGGCGCGCGGGGGCGACCAGCCGCTGTGCGCCGCTAACTGGGGCGGGTGCGCCCGGAGGAACTCGCGCCCACCGCCTGTCCGGGATCGCCCCCGCCCCCCGCAAACCAGGGATCCCTTCCTCTCCTCCCCGCCCCCCGGCCAGTTTAGGATCCCTTCCCACTCCCGATCCCGCCTGCCCCCGGCGGGGTCCCAACTCCGGCCTCAATCCCCGGACTGGGGGCGGGGAGGGGCGCGGGTTGGGGATTTTCACGCGCCGCACGCGCTCCCCAGCTCAACGGGAGGCAGGACCCCACCAAGTGCTGCCCCTCCTCCTGGCCTCGCGTTTCGCGGTGGACAAGCCCCCGGGCGCGGGCGCGAGCGGCAGCCGGCCACCCAGGGCTTCCTGCGAACGCAAGGACATGGGACTTTCCTGAGGTTTGCGGCCAATGGCAGATAACGCGCCCTCGAGGCGCAAGCCCTTGGAGCCGGCTTTCGTGTTTTCCATCACTACAGCCGGAGCGTAACTTAATTCGCTTCTTTCTCTCCCCCCCCACCCCCGCCCCCGGGAGAAAATGAACCTGAGTCGGAGGAGCAGATGGCCTCCTCGGCCTGGGGGCGGCGAATCCCGGGCTCGGGGGTGGTGGCCCCCGCAGCCGCCGGGGTTGCCAGTGACGGTCTCAGCGGCAGCGGTGGCCTCCTGGAAACTGCAGACGAACTTTATTTGAAGCCATTTCTACCCACCTGCACCCTCTAATATTTGCCTGCGGGGCGGGAGGGGAAGGCGGGACCCCGGCGAGGCGGCTTCCCGGACGGCGGCGCAGGCCGAGCGGGCAGAGGCGGGCGCACGCTCGGCGCCTGGGGCCCGGTCCCGCGGGCAGGGCGGCGGCCCAGCGCGGGCCCCGGGGCCGACAGCGCCCCGTCGTCACACGCGCGCGGAGCAAGGCCAAACAACCTGTCCTTGCCGCGACTCCGGCGGTGCTCCGGGGCCGGGCTCCCGACTTGCAGTAACTCCGCCTGACTGTCTCGCTCTCCTTTGGCACTTAGGTCTCCCGCCGCCTTTGTGTATCTTGGAGGTTAGAGTAATTGTCAGAAGCGTTTTTTGTATTTGGCCGGTCCCAAACTCAAACTTCTCTACAAGGCCCACATTCCTTGTCATTTGGGGTTTTAAAGGCTGAGGGAGACTGGAGAAGTGTTGTTCTGGCCTTCCCATTCTTTCAGGCCTGGCCCCTGGCCCCTGGCCCCATCCCCAGAATTTGGGGTGGCCTTTCCTGATCACTCATCCCAAAGCATGTTTCTTCGCTTTTGGACTCTGGAATCCATCCTGTTTCCACCGCTCAGCACACATTTTGTCCTTGGATTCCTTGGTGGTGTCCTGTCCTCTCACTCACACCCTCCTAGGGGACACTTGAAGCTCCCTGAGATCCGCTCGTCCACCCCAACATGCCTGAGCACACTGCTGTGCCCTAAGCTGTCTTTGAAGAGCTGTTGCGCCTTTCAGGGCAATGTGGCAGCTCTGGGCCATGTCAGGGGGTGCGTGATGGCACCCTGGCTGGAGCTCCACAGACTAGCTGTGTTTGCCTTCTCCTGGCAGGTCAGTGAATTGCTGCCCCCCCACCCCCACCCCGCCAGATGACTTGCCTGGTGCTCTGGCTTCAGGAGGGTCCCAGGTATGACATTCAGCGCTCCTCCCACATCACTCAGCCTGCTCAGCTTTGCTGATGCCTGTCCCCCTGCCTTGTGGAGGGGGAGGTTGGGGGAATCAGGTAGTTGAAGAGGTCTGAGTAGGACGAGGTGTTTGGGGAGAGCAGGGAAAGCTTAGTGGGGGAAGCTGTGATGTGGCTGGACACGGCCCTGAGGGCTCCAGGACACTGGTGAGCAGGATGCTTGGGCAGAGGGGGTGGACTTGAGAGTCAGGGACTGCCCTGAAAGGAACTTGGGGCTCTGCCAGGCAGCGCTGAAGGGAGGCTCCTGAAGGCAGTGGCAGAGAGGGCAGTGAGTCCTGGCTGGGCAGAGAGAGGGGTCGGCTGTTGGCAGCACAGGGAAGGCACTAAGCAGGTGGCTGGGGGGGGGGGGGGGCAGGCGGCAGAGCGGGCGTAATCTGAGCATGTGAAATCAGTTCTCATGGAGCTCATGCTGGCATTTATGTTTCGAAAAATTACAATCTCTTCTGGTTCTTATCAATGCTTTTATAATAGTTTTAGGAAGGTAAAAAATACATGCATTAGCTACTATGAGCCTTCTTTTGAAGTCTTTCAGTCTAGAAGCATGTCTCACTTTACAAAAAAGTGAAAAAAATCAAAGTTAAGAGATATATGTGGGGTGAGGGGGGACTAATTCATATTTTAACTTGACAAGATGACTCACTAGAATTTCCTTAGAGACACATAAGACATTCAGAGATGCACACTTTCCCCCTTGTTTACATAAGCTAAAACAATATAAAGTGAGTTACAGTGATTTCTTTCAACAAGACGGAGGGGGCTCATTTAGCTAACCAAAAAGACATCTGTAGAAAAAGGCACTTTTTTTTTTAAAGAGTTTTAAAAAATATTTACTTGAGAGTGCAAGCAAGCATGGGGCAGGGGAGGAGCAGAGGGTGAGGGAGAGGAAGAGAGAGGGAAGCAGACTCCCTGCTGAGCACAGAGCTCTGCCCCAGGCTGGATGCCAGGACCCTGAGATCAGACCTGAACCGAAATCAGACACTTAAAAGACTGGGCCACCCAGGTGCCCCCAAAGAGGCATTCTTGGTTCTTAACCATGACAGAGAGCAGTACAAACCCAAGAGTCACTTGGGCATTATCTGTGTCAGTGACAGAAAGGCATCCTACTCATATAATTAAGACTAAATGTGGAAATTTAGGGGATAAATATAACCAGTGCCATTTGTTAACCTGTAGCAAAGCAAATAAAGTACATATTGACCAAGTTGAAACATAATGCTAACGACAACTTTGGGGCTCCAGGCTGAGCTTGCCCACAGGCGAAGGGGCTCACTGACGTGGAGAGAGTGTCCTGCCCAGCGACGGTCTCAAGACAAAATATTAGCACATCATATCATAGTGTGAAACTTATAAAAATAGGTGCTTGTGCTGACCCCTCGACCTCCTGAAAGCCTCTGCAGGTGGTTCTGACTTGCCACTTCAGGGCTTCCCTCCAGAGGGAGGGTCAGTCTGAGTCTTTCCCCAAAATCATTTAAAACTCTGTAAGACCTTGTGAGGCAAGACAGCCCTCCTGTGGTTGCCCATTAACAGAGAAAGTGTGATATTCCCCCCACCTGCCACAAACACCACGTGGAGCCAGCACTGAGTGGGGGTGTGTGTGTAGGGGGGGGAGCAGGCAAGGCTGTCACCCAAGGCAAATGCGGTGTCGCCAGTGACAAGAGGTGTTCCTGAACTTACGAGTCTTCCCTTTAACACTCCCAGAAGCACTTAGGTGGAGGATGCTTTGCGAGAGCAGGTGGGGATGGAACTGGAAAACAAGATTACATCGATGACGCCCCAATGAGAATTAGGTGAGGAGCTAACGTGCTCTGCAGTCTGGGCTCTGTGAAGGCAGATCCATCTTACAGGATCATATAGGTTCAATGACATCCTTGGTGGGTCCTAGACCCACTGTTAACTGGATTTATGACCTAGTGGCCATGGAGGGAGCCATTCGTGAACTTTGAGGCAGGCAGCGATTCCATTCTTAGGGATTTTATAGACTAGTAAATGTCAAGTAAAACTTTTGGGAACTGATATGGTTATCAACTTTTATATCAGGTAAGGACAATGAAAAAGACTAAAAACTACGATCTACTATCATTTCATACAAAGAGGACAATTTTAATATAAGAAAGAATAACTTCAGAATTTAAAATCTGCCCACATTGGGCTTTTAAAACCTTTGAACTATGCTGTCCTTGGCTTTCTCATTTTCTGTGGACTCCAGAAAATTTATCACCAATTCCTCTCTGCAAAACAAGGTTTTTTGCCTTGACCATATAGGGGCAGCCACACAACTTACAGGTGATGTTAATTTACTCTGAGAAGGTGTTTCAGGGCTTTAAGGGAACCCCAGGGAATTCAAGGGCAAAAAGCCTCTCGGTATTTTGACTCAGTTTCCAATTTATTAATAACTGTGTGTTGAGTGCTTTAAAGACAGGTGAACAAGACAGACTGTGGCAAACAGAACCTTGGAAACCTGAAGTTGGAAGGTTTTTTAGCAGTGATATCATCCCTGTGGTTTTTCACACTAGTGCCCCATGGAGCCACACGGTGCTGCTGGAACCAGCAGACCTCCATTTTAATTATTTTCGACAACTGATCTTCTAATTAAAATAGAGTTCAGTTGCTTTAAAAAATGCTTGAACACCAGTGGTCCCGTCCATCTCAAATTTAAAGGGGGTAACAGGCTGAAAGAAGCCTTGGGATTTGCCTGGGGCCACCTATTTATCTGGAAGACCGTGGTGGGGTGGGCTAGGCAGG